ATGATCTGCGTTAAAATCATATATGGAATGTTTAAAGGGCCAATCCCAATAATATTTTGGAGAATAAAACTGCTTAGTTTTGCGTTAAAATCCTCTACCTTAAAGCTGAGCAACAAACTCAATATATGTGATACGTTTTCAAACAACTTGAACCCGTCAGTCTTAAACTGGAAATGGAGGCCGGTGTCCTAAGCTGTATTATACGGTGTTTAGATAAAACTAGACTTTTATTTTTGAGACTGTTCAAATCGGGATAGTCCCTTTAACATGTTCTATCACATATGTGATACAATGGCTGACACCAATAATTGTCCTTTAATGATCAATTTTGATATTTTTTTTTTTACTGTATTTCCAGATTTCTGGAGACTAATAATCTTTTAAATCAATTTATTTTCCATTCCTGTGTTATTTTATAATTTTAGTTGATCTAATTTCTAAATGAATTAAAAGTGGTCATGGTAATTCATAGGGAACACAAATAATTGTGAGAGCATTAACTGCAAGAACGGTTTGGTAAACAACTATATGTGTGTTGGAAGTTATAAAAAAATTTTTTTTTTATAAATTCGAAATGAAAGGCAGTGAATAATATAATTAATACATGTCGTTAATATAAGGCAGGTGCTTGTTAATAGAATGTCAAATCATGCAGCATTCTATTATTATAGTCCATGGCCAATTTCAATAACATTTATAAACATGATTTTAGTTTATGAAAGCTTTTTTTTTTTTTTTTTAATGTACAATAGGTTTTATTTATACAGCAAGCATGCAATCATCTACAGCTCTGTTTTCAACTTTTGTCAGAGATATAATATCCTTATTTGTCCATAAAGGCCTGGTTTTATTGGTCTCTCATTTTTCTTTCAACCAATATCAAAGCCAGTTTTACTTTAGTAAATGTATAATCTTAATACTTGTAGATTTCAATCAATCTGGTATTTTGTCTGATAGTTTTGAACTTCCATCAGCACAACAACTGTCATGCCATTTCAGTGAATTATTGTAACCATCAAAGTTACACAGTTATTATGTCTGTCGATTGTGTAATCATGCATCTACATATATCATGTAAACACAACAATGTCAAAATTCTGTTGTTGGGGTTTAACACATGAAGATATATAACAGGATTGCTATTGTAAATATTCATGAGTAAAAGGCTGCAAATATAATTTTGGGCCAAAATGTGCTCTCAAAAAAGGCATATTTGGAATCGCAAGTATATTATCAAATCTGAAATCGTTGAAAATCTGATTCTTCACCTCTCGAATATATAAACACAGCGTACAAATTTCACTTCAATTGGATATTAACTATAATCTCTAGTCTAGAGCATCTACAAGCAACTGAACGATAAACTGACAAGACAGGGTGTTAGGCCTTTACATTAAAGGAGCATGATCGTTCTCTTGGAAGAGCCTGGATGTCAGTCGAGGTTCCCTTTTTATTGATTGCGTCATAGTCTAAACTGACTCCCCTCGAAGAAAATAATCAGGAAAAATATACCAGTAACGAAAAATATTGTCAATCTCGACAACCAACTTGCTAGTTGGTTACAATAAGTCATACCTTAAGTGAGAATTGGCCATGTGATTCACAATCCGAGTAATTATTAGCACACTTTTAATGGTAATTTTGATAATTTGGTACAATAAAACAAGCCTGCTGGTTATTCATAACATGTCCGATAAGGTTATTTTGTGAAAATAAGCCATGTGGCGAATGAAGCCATCTTGGCATGGATTGTGAAACTCAGGATTCACCCCGTCTTCGAAGGTCAGTCCATAAGAATTCCAGGTTGATATTAAAATAATAATTGGATCTTACATTTGATGGTTTCATTGACCAGTTGTTAGTTAAATTTAAATAGTCATTGAATAATCCGCTGATAGACATTGAATATCCCTAGAAAGTCATAATATATTTTTTCGGCAGAATCTCCATAATGCACCGATTTCTGAAGACGTGACATGCATCAGTTCGAATTAGGTCAATAAACCAGTATTCCTAAATTTAGTTTTAGATAGCTTTTACAGCTATGCTTTTTTATTTATACACATGCTGACAGACTTATTATTAAAAATATTCATTACAATAATTTTAGTATTAATATTACCAAAGAAATGTCACTCTGGATATACTGGTACTTTAAATTTTGGGTACATGTATATTGGAACTTAATGTTATGGGTATACTAGGGCTTTAAAGATACATTTGAAAGAGCAAAATCTGCCTATTGCAGATCTTTCTTTTGGGCTTAAATATTATATAAATTATTAATAACAAGCCTATAATCAACTCTCTAGACAATAGGATGATTGTGATTTAGAAAGGATTGAAACGTTTCAGTCACCATTAAATAATTTAATTCAAAAATCGACAATATCAAGACTTTATTTTCGGAACAGCGGTAACAATGAAAACTATGCTATTCTTCAAACAGTCATAACTTTGAGTGAAGTAATTTTACTGAAATTTTCAATATCTGTTTTTAAACGAGCATAGTGAGAACTATCAGCTCTTTATCTAAATCTTACATAAAGTTTATTAACATTTAATTAACCTGGGTGTACACTAACATGATTTATGAATCATGAACTGATTGACAGTTTTTAATGACATTTCAATGAGATATGATATCAAATGCTATCTTAAATAATAAACTCTGATGATTTTAATCCTCATTTAATGTTACGGTAGTGGTGAAATAATCTCAACAACTTAATGATAATAATTAACGGGTTGTTAGACATGAATGATGATTAACATTACATAAGGAATTAATTTATCTAGGATTATCCCTAGAGCTTAATAATGTCAACTAATGCTGTGTGTGAAACTAAAGTCCAAGTAAGGAAGCCATAGACACTGGTCCAATCAAGCTACGTGTGACATACATGTAGACCACATACATGTAGTCCTATCTTTGGATGTTAAAAGTGGTTATCTATTGCGAGTTTGCAAACACATACATCAATTACGGTTGCCAGGCAACAAAACAAATTGAAATGATATGGGGTTTAATTTTCTACTTTCCTGTACTGACCGGGCTAATGAAGACAAGTCAACAAAACAAAGGCCTACAGCACCCAAGTCGATTATATCTTCCATAAGTATTGTCTCATTGTTATCCTTTAAAGACACCAAAAACTGACCAAGGGTTACAACCCATGAAGTAATTTTCAGAAATAATTAAATTTTGACAAATTTTCCTTTGTGTTAAAATAACAAAACGTGTACCGTTGTAATCGGGTAACTTCAGGCTTTCGAGCTATTAGAAAACAGTTCATAATCAAGTGATGGCCAAAGCCTCTGTATGGTCCGAAATAAAATGGGTTTTAACGTCCTACTGTTTTGCTCCAAACTGGGCTAATGACGACGGGCATACACCATACAGTGTGCTATGAGGGAAATTTTGCCCAAAACAGCACTATGGCCTACTATTATATTGAATTCCAACTGTCATGGGATCTTTTACGTGCACGCCATATAATTATTTGCATTGTGTGATGTCCACAAGATTTCATCAAAGTGAAAGGGGGGTGGGGGGTCAATAATCATTGAAATTTAATGGAATTCTATGTCCCATAGACACTACAAGATTTTTCAAAGCGATCCAAATCTGTCACCCTTACAGTAATTATCGGAAATCTTTTCAAATCAACAGGCATCTTCATCTCAAGTAAGTACATACATTGTACAAATTTCAAATCAATTGGATGATAACATTAGCGTCTAGAAAATCCCAAGAAATTGTGGACGATTAATAGATTTACGGACAGGCAAAGGTGACAACATGTGACCACATTTCAGTATATTTCTATTATGTTAAAATGGCATTATCATTACAGTGATTATTTGGCCTAGATCATAATAAATGTAAGAACTGATTGATGATGGATTGTAAGTAAGACTGAATAAATATTGTCTGTAAAAATAACCTTGATGAAATTATTGACCTATATTATCTAGCTATTTGAACAAGACTGAGGGCATACATAGATGTATTAGAAAATTTAAGAAAAATTTTGAGATTCCCAGAACAAAATATTGACATTATAAATCCAAACAAAGGAATAACTGGCCTGGTATCATAGTTCAATAAGAATTTAAAGTCAATGATATGTGAAATCTTGGAGAGAGAGATAAAAAACTCGCAATCCTAACACTAAAAAACAAAGTCACTAAAATGATAGTTATGCAACAAGTATATTTACTTTAGTCAATGACCTAAATCCCTCCTTTTATAAAATAAACATTCACACAAAGTTCAATGCCTTTATCGACATCACACAAACACCATGCTCAACCAATTTGCACCTTTGACTTAAGAGTGTGAACTTTACAGAAACCCTGATCATGTAAAAACAGCGAGCCTACCATTGTTTGGTTTCAACTGACGACAGCCGAGAGTCGAATCTATTTTAAGAAATAAGAGCAGATCCATTGTTTGTCGGTCGCAGTGATTCACACCAAGTTTCCATGGCACATCTACGATTTATCTGCTAAATTTAAACAAATTTAAACATTGCGAACGTTCACCGAGGGTATTCTAATAGCGACATAAGCAAATGTCAACAATGTACAACAATGTTGCCGTGTGTGATAACATGCCTAGACATCCAAACACCCAGAAAATACACGGCTTCCGAATACACAACAATAAAAACAAAGTATTAATCATCCACTAATCATTATTTGCCAGGAAAAATCAAGGTTGGAAAAAATCGAGACGATCAAGCCCTAAACAAACCACAAATTTGAAGACCTATCTACACATAAATTTATAGTTTTAACCCGTTTTGTTCAATTCTCCATTGTCTCGAGGGAAAAATATTCTCGCCATGGCTCACCCCGAGTCGAGACAAAAAAAATATCATTTCAACTCAAAACATCGACGTATTCTAACCATATCAAGTCACGATTTGATATCTTAATGTCCCAGTTGTTTCTCTACTCAAAATCTACTTTAATAAATGGATAAGTTAACTTACTTTTGGATGTGGAACTTGATAATAATTTCAGCAAGACATGTGCGCCTTAGTAGCCCGCCATTATGACAAAAGATTGAAGCTTCAACCCTGATTCACCTACATAATTAGCTCCGTGTCGCCCTCTAGCGGCCGTTAACTGAACTAAATGCCTTTTCTATTTGTCTAAACGACCGTGTGCATTTATTGTAAGGGTTTCGATGCAATGCACATGAATCTAAATTTCATAGTTTGGAAAATGAAGACGAGCCACGTTTATGAATTTTCTTGCCCCAAAAAATAGGCATATCTCTTTTGGTTTATTTATAAATAAAAGGCTGAACCCTAGGTGAAAAGGGGGAGTGGATGTTTCTCTATGACTGGATCTTGAATAAGAAGCTAGCATGCATCATTGAATAAATGACTCATTCCCATCTGTCGACTTTCAACAACAAATCTGCTGTCAAACAAAAAAGAAACAAAAAAAAAAAAGATTCAAAGAGTTAACGAGTAAAATACCATACTGCCACAATCCAGTCTGGTATAACGGAATAGCCTATAAACTGCGTCTGAAGCGTTTCATTGTCCGATAGTAACCTAATATGCATGCATGCCTAAAGCATGGAGTTAATTATTCAAGATTTTAGAGCGACCCCAGAATTAAATGACTAAAAACCCACAGAAATTCCAGGGCTGGTATATACTTCATCACTTGCTCTGTTCCTTTGTTAGTTCAGACTATTGTCTCCAAGAACTCCCAAAATAACGACACATATCCCTTGATAGAAATATGAGAAGCATTATATATTGAAAACAGTTATTGGATACGAGCTTAGGATGCTGCATAATCGAGATAATTAATTCGCAAGCTATTACATCGCAAGTGCTGTATTTTGTCAGAATAAACTAATAACTATGCGCTTCAGCCTTTTACAAATATTATCCACGCAGGTGCAAATCTGCATTATACAGTAAATCATTATCATGACAATTGGTGGAATGGAACGGGGTTTAACGTCTCGTCAGCAGAATACTTTGGTCGCTTTGAGACTAACACATTTTATGTCCATGGTAACGGTTGCAAGGCGAGGGAAGGGAATAAACTAATAACTATGCACTTCAGCCTTTTACAAATATTATCCACGCAGGTGCAAATCTGCATTATACAGTAAATCATTATCATGACAATTGGTGGAATGGAACGGGGTTTAACGTCTCGTCAGCAGAATACTTTGGTCGCTTTGAGACTAACACATTTTATGTCCATGGTAACGGTTGCAAGGCGAGGGAAGGGAATTTTGCCTTGATAGCAACGTTTCTGCCTATACCTTCTTGAAATTGAACCTGCAACATTAATGGTTATTTTACGTACACACAATATGTACACAGGTGAACCTCGGTTTTTCGTCCTATCCAAACAACTAGGCAGATTATGTTTCAGCACCCCGCCCCTCCCCACCCAAATAAAAGCGAGAAGCCGGCTTGCGAACCCGACGGTTCTTCTCATGATAAAGTGAAATGGGAATAGACACACATACAGTTTACATGTGCATCCAAAAATCAATAGGCACACCCATTATCCTGAGACTAACATTTTTAAAATTCTTCTATGGTTGCGTGAGGTTATGATAAGTTTGCCCGAGCTGTGGTAATTATTCCTCTTTCCATTCCAACTGCCACGGGGTCGGCAATACGTATAGTATTTTAAGGCTAACCTACTTTTTTTTCTGTCGTTACATATATTCAATTATCGGTTTCGCGCAAGCTTGCGGATTCTCTAAGCCCATTTTTATACCCAGATGGCTTATATTCATTTAAAGTTTGCATTGCATTTGGTTTCACGTTTTAGCTTATCTAGGCTGAATAAAGTAATAACAATTCTGCTAACTGTTTATTTTTAATATTCAGATGTGGTTAACTGCATAAGCGAGGATCTTCGTTAAACTATTCGGTTAGCTGTGCCTTGTTTTCTGTGAATATTGTTATTTATGTGTTCTATCCTTTGTTGCCGTTCTGTGTTACCATCTTCATCATGATTAACATAATTATCATTCCGTTTGTTGAGAATAACTCTTGGAAACGTCACCCAAATAAATTAGTAGCTGTTTTCCACATGTAAGTATTTTTGTTTATAAATTATCATATTACCCGTGTAATCTCACTCGGGAATCATCAGTAGTCTCTTCCAACATTGTTATTGTACAGAATTCGTGGCGGGCCGATTGATGAGATTTTGCGATCTTGGATGGATCCTTAATATTGTTTTGATGTCGTGGGAGCCACTGTGGCTCAGTGAGTAAGACACTGGATCAATAGTCTCGAGGTCACGAGTTCGCTACCGGTGTTGGCCGAGAACGTTCCGCGAGATTTTCAGGTGTGGTTCACCTAATTGTCAGTGCTGCAGAACGAAGGGTCTAGTCGTTCGGATGGGACGAAAAACCCGATGTCCCGTTTACATATTGGTGTGAACGTAAAAGATCCCTTGGCAGATGGAATTCGATATAAGAGTCCATTCAAAATTTCCGTCATAGTACACTGTATGGCGTATGTCCGTCTTCAATAGCCCAACCGGAGCAGAACCCCATTTTATTTCGTGTATACGGATGGAACTCGGAGTTTCGCACCACTCATTTCATTTTTAATGTCGTCTAAACGACTTGTAGCGCTGGGATTAATTAGGCGAGGGTTTCGAAAAAAAATACTAGACATTTCTCATATTAAGTTAAAGTATTTTCACATTAATAAAGAATTTCACATTATTACAGATAGTTTAGATTTCAGGCAGACATTATTGTATTAAACTGCATTTGACCTAAACACTCTAGATACACGTGATCATGATATGCACGTGTGTATGTTCTCTAAAACAAAAATAGCCGGTTCATTTGAACTATATCGAATATAATAAAAACATTAATATGACTTTTAAATTTTAAAGTCTAGACTAATAGAACTGAATTGGGGTTTAGCGTACTTTTTTAACCTATATCCGGGAAAATTATGATAACAAAAACTTCTCTTACGCGTTCATGTGTGCTTTAAAGTGTTACAATGTATAAAATCAAATCATGAAAGGCATTAGATAAAATCAAGAACTAAAACAATATTACAAAAAAATGAAGGAATATAAATGGAAAATATCCCATGAAAAGAAGAATATTCCACCAAAAGAAGAATATCCCACCAAAAGAACATTCCACCAAAAGGATATCACAACAAAAGACGAATATCACAACAAAAGAAGAATATTCCACCAAAAGAAGAATATCACAACAAAAGAAGAATATTACAACAAAAGAAGAATATTCCACCAAAAGAAGAATATCCCACCAAAAGAAGAACATACCATCAAAAGAAGGATATTCTACCAAAAGAAGGATATCACAACAAAGGAAGGATATCACAACTAAAAAGGAATATCCCACCAAAAGAAGAATATCACAACAAAAGAAGGATATCACAACAAAAGACGAATATAACATAAGCAGAATATCACAACAAAAGAAGAATATTCCACCAAAAGAACAATATCTCACCAAAAGAACAATATCACAACAAAAGAAGGATATAGTATTCCACCCAAAAATATCACGACAAAAGAAGGATAGCACAACACATAAAAGGAAGAATATTCCACCAAAAGAAGAATATCCCACCAAAAGAAGAAAATCACAACAAAAAAGGTTATTCTACGTCAAGAAGGATATCATAACAAAAGAAGAATATTCCACCAAAAGAAGAATATCCGACCAAAAGAAGAATATTCCACCAAAAGAAGGATATCACAACAAAAGAAAGATGTCACAACAAAAGATTATAATTCAGAAATGTATACATAATTAAAAAAGTACATGAAAGTGAAGTGGTTCTTCTATGAATACAAAGCCTTTAAAAATATATGTTTCATAAGAAGTCGGGGGGGGGGGGTGAGTTCCATGGGTTCGCCCCACATACTTATCGAAGTAACGTCGAATAAATAAATGTGCGAAGCTTGTTGCCGTTTTGGCAGCCTGTTATACACCGAAATTGGAAAAACTGTCTCTGAGCTTCTGATTTTATACATTATCGAGTAATTCCCCAGACCCCAAGTCCAAACTGGGCGTTGTTTCCAACTTGGACCCCCACCCCACTCCTATGCCGAACAGTAAGTGTGATGTATCAATCCAATTTTAAAGGGATAAAATGAAGACTGGCATACAAGAACTTTTTTTTATGTTTTTACCCATTTTCTTTACTTTTTATGTTTTATCCATTTTCTTTACTACCCCTTCACATGTAAATAATCTTAATCAAATATAATGTATTGGATATTAAATCGGTAAAAAACAACAACGACACAATGGTCACGCGATACCCCATTCAGTGTGCTATGGGGGAAAGTTTGTCCGAAAAACGGCGTTTCGGTCTACTTATTTATCACAACAGTTTTCCCTCTTAATCACAATAGTTTTCCTTCTTGATCACAATAATTACAACAGTTTTTCCCCTTGATCACACTTATCAAAGCATTTTTCCCTATTGATCACATTATTATCATAACAGTTTTCTTTCGTTGTCGGGGGGTTGGATGGCTGAATGGTTAGCGCGCGCGCGCTGTATCATAAAGTCTGTCATTGAGTTATTGGCGTGGTTTCGAATCCCCGGTTGTACGTGACAGGGAGTAGGGTCGCCTGTCCAACCTCGTGGGTTTTCTCCGGGTCCTCCGGTTTCCTCCTCTGCTAAAGACCCTTATGCGCAAGCGAATTATTGAAATAAAATTATACCATATGTTAGTCCCGAAATGACCTAGTTTGTGTCGAGTGGACGTTAAACCCCATTTCTCTCTCTCTCTCTCTTTTCGTTGTCCCGGTCGGTGAAGACAGATGAAACCTTAATGCCCATTCCATTTCTCCCTAATCAGCAGTTATTTTGAATATGATAATATACAGCAGTATATAGGTCAATTCAAAGTTTTGAATAATGTTGATATTGTATGTTATTTGAATTAGCAATGGGTTAAGATTACACTTTGATGTTGACAGAATGTGTGGAAATGTTCTGCTACAAGTTTCGATTTTGGTGTGTATTGTAAACGTTTGGAGCTTGGTTTATTATGCGTATGTGTGAGTGTGTGTGTATGTGTACACACAGAAACTAGTCTAACTGAATTAGATCGT